GATAATTTTCAGTTAAAAATAACGTTTTCACATTGAAACGCCGAGCATAAAATTTTTATTGCAGATTAAGTTCCCCCTCGCTTAAGACTTTATCTTGAATTAGATAGAAAATAGTAAAGTTTAAAAAACAATTTAAAGATAAAGAATTCCATTACGACGTACGAAACTTCCGGCAGTAGCGGCAGCCTCTGCACCGGCGTATTTTACGATAACTAAGTTACGATCTTTAGTTGATGCTGCCAACGACTAAATTTTGAAGAATTGACTTGCATGTTTTGAAAAGTGTTATTTCAAGGCACCCAAATTTCTTTAAAAAAAATAGCATTAAAAAATTTGTGTGGCACTGAATGTTTCATATCTCAGTCAAATTTGAACGAACGTTCTTCGACACCAACATCACTTCTGGTATAATCAATTAATACAAACAAGCTGTGTTCTATCACAGGATACACGCATTTACCACTCGTTAACAAGGACTCGTTATCTAAATACTATGCGATGAGAGCCTCGTTAAATAAATACTTTAGTCTGTAATGATAGTTACGCTCTGTGGCAGCGTCCTGCAGGTAACGACTCTAAATGAGGTAGTTAAGTATAAAAATCTTATCTGTTTGGTTATCGAAGAGTAGTGAACTGAAAAGTCTTATAAGTAATTATTTATTCGCCTTCAAACTGACATCAATCGGTGCAAAAAATTTCTTTCGAAATAAAATTTTGGCATTTTAATTAAAATTAAGTAAAACTGATCCTAACTTCTTCACGCGATCAAAAGCACTAATGGTGCTTCTCATTATATGTCAAGTACGATGTTCTGGAACAGTGAACGTTGTTTATACGCTACAATGCCTTCCCCTAGGCGGGTATAGAACTTTCAACCCTTCACCTATCACTGCAATATGGCACAACACATAAGAACTTCAGTGGCAGCAGTTTAAGAATAACAACATTTCTCGATTTGATACCAGAAATTAATTGTTCATTACAATTAAACGAAAAAAAAGAATGCGCAACAAGAGGCTTTTCAAACCGCCTGTTACAAAACGTGTTGTCATCACAGACGCTTGATAGGATTTAGTGATGCTGAACGAAACAACCGCGTTATGACATCTTGGGTGTGGACACAAGTGAGAAACACATGTAAAATGCAAGCAAATAGCTGGGAATTGAAATGAGTGAGCTGTAATTAAGTGACTTGAGAACTTTGCGATGAGTGAAAGATAGATGAGCATGCTAGTGCAGTAAGTGTTGCATGCTAGTGCATCAAGTGTGGCATGCTAGTGCAGCAAGCGTGGCATGCTAGCGCAGCAAATGTAGCATGCTAGTGCAGCAAGTGTGGCATGCTAGAGCAGCAAATGTGGTATGCTAGTGCAGCAAATGTGGTATGCTAGTGCAGCAAATGTGGCATGCTAGTGCAGCAAATGTGGTATGCTAGTGTAGCAAATGTGGCATGCTAGTGCAGCAAATGTGGTATGCTAGTGCAGCAAATGTGGCATGCTAGTGCAGCAAATATAGTATGCTAGTGCAGCAAATATAGTATGCTAGTGCAGCAAATATAGTATGCTAGTGCAGCAAATATGGCATGCTAGTGCAGCAAATATGGCATGCTAGAGCAGCAAATATAGCATGCTAAAGCAGCAAATAAATATTAGCAGTGCGAGTTGCAGCAAGGGTAGAAGCGAAAGGGAGGCCGCGGTGGGTAAGTTCGAAAGGCGGAAGCTATGGGCATAAGTTCTTATGTATGATACGAGTTGCGACGAAGTATTAGTAAAATAAAAATCATGGATTCGCATAAGCGTAGCCAGGTGAACAATATCTTATCAAAACTCTATACTCTTAATACCCCGACATACATAAACGTATATATGCAAAATATACGTAATTATATTAAATAATAATTCCATGGGCCCTACTTTCAAAATTCGCTAAGTGAACGTAAGTACTTACGCTCTATTTTCTAGTCTATGATTGGTGGATTTTGCTTGAAAGGCCGTCAATGATTGGCTGATGAACTTACGATCTCTTAACTTTTTTTGAAATCAAGAGACGGTAAACAAGTTCACGGAGAAGACACGACCCTTGAGCACAAACGTCATGGACTTGAACTGTTTTGAAAATTTTTTAATCTATTGTCACTTCAGTCAATAGTTTTGTCTTTTTCTTGGCCTATTGTCACTTCAGTGGCCAGAGTTTTGTCAATTGCGTAACCTATTGTCACTTCAGTGGCCAGAGTTTTGTCAATTGCTTAACCTATTGTCACTTCAGTGGCCAGGGTTTTGTCAATTGCTTAACCTATTGTCACTTCAGTGGCCAGAGTTTTGTCAATTGCTTAACCTATTGTCACTTCAGTGGCCAGGGTTTTGTCAATTGCTTAACCTATTGTCACTTCAGTGGCCAGAGTTTTGTCAATTACTTGACCTATTGTCACTTCAGTGGCCCGAGTTTTGTCAATTGCTCGACCAATTGTCACTTCAGTGGCCAGAGTTTTGTCAATTGCTTGATCTATTGTCACTTCAGTGGGAAGAATAAACTTCAGAGGCCACAAGTTCAGTGGGATCGAAGTATCGCTGGATTAACAAGACCTTTTGATCGGCATCGGTATATTCATTTCTGAGATGAATTTGAATTTGCCTAAGTGCGTGGTGATGTTTTAGAATTAAACGGTAAAATAGGTTAGAAATAAATAAATGACGCTTTAGTCGTTACTAAATATCAAGTAAATTGCGAGGGTACTGAACAAAAAGTTGTCGCTAAATTTTGTAATACATAAGCATGACCACGTCAGTGTTCTGGAATCTTTCGATCTTTCGGACGACTTTTCCATTGAAGTCAACGCGAGATTTCGTGTCCTCCGAAATTTGTTCAAATTTTTATTAGTAATATCGAAGACTAAAATCGCCGGCACAAGCAATATTTTTCACGAAATCCTTGTTTGCTACACACGACCGAAAGCAATTTTGGCTGGCAGTACAAGACAAAACACTTCATTGGAACAAAAAAAAAATTTTTTGAAAACGCTTTACCTAATTAAAACTTTCTTTTTTCGCTCTTCCCCTTCACTCGGTCAAAAACATGGCATGATAAAATAATTCAAGCGTCGAAAACCAAAATTTGATAAAGTTTAGTGCGCAAAATAAGCTCACTTTAATTTAATAAGTGCGCAATATAAGCGCACTAGCTTGTATTCAAATGTAATAAGTTTTTAAAGCAAATTATGGCAAAACACTATTCTAAATCACCGTATTTAACTCTGGTATGGGAATTGTAGCGCACTAACTAACGCGCTATAGGTAGTTTTTAGTTTACCTATAGCAACCTAATTTCTACAGAATTCAAATCACCATCACATTCATGCCCATGGCTGAATTCATTATTACAAAAAATAATTTGACAGGTGACATAGGTCCGCCTAGTCACAGCGCAACCAGAAATTAAATTCGATATTGGGATGAATTAACTTCATACATAAAAAACACCGTTTGAAAAGCGACATATAAGAACAGCTGAACGTTGATGGGTCAACAATACGAAGATTTGTTCTAGCATAAATCGTCACGGCTTCATCACACAGCACCGCAACACACAACACACGGCAGGAGCGGCAGCGCTACTCACCCTTCCTCCATGGCGGCTCCAGGGAGACTGACGGCAGCAACCGCAAGATTGTCGGTCTCTGGGCTGGGAGCCTCGGGACGGGAAGTTTGCTGGGAGAAGCTGGGACCTCAGCTGGAGCAGTGAATGCGTACGATTATAAGAGTCCGGGACTACAGCTTGGAGATGCTGGGACCTCAGCTGGAGTAGTGAACGCGTACGATTATAAGAGTCCGGGACTACAGCTGGGAGAAGCTGGGACCTCAGCTGTAGCAGTGAACGCGTACGATTACAAGAGTCCGGGACTACAGCTGGGACCTCAGCTGTAGCAGTGAACGCGTACGATTCCGAGAGTCCGGGACTACAGCTGGGAGAAGCTGGGACCTCAGCTGGAGCAGTGAACGCGTACGATTATGAGAGTCCGGGACTACAGCTGGGAGAAGCTGGGACTGGAGTACACTATCAGAAATATTCATGCGTCAAATTTTCCAACTAATTACCCTATGTCCGTAGCACCGATATGCTATTTCGCTGAGCAAAAAATGGGTTTGAATGACTCTCACAGTGGTGAAATGAGCATCGATATTTGGACAACGTCCCACTCATTCCTCCGAGTGATAACTCAGCTTCCGAAAGTTCAGCGTCTCAGCTGGAAATGCCAGGACCTCATCTTGGGCAATCCTTGCCATAGTTCAGGAGGATAAGGAACGAAGATTTCATGACGTGTGACATTTTTTAAGGTTATCATTGTTCCGGCTTGAGCCATAAGTAAGAGAAGCCATAATAATATTGTCGTAGGTATTGTGGCAACACTCAGGTTCACTAATCAGCCAAACCGTAGGTATCATTAAAACACTTTTTTGCACGAACATCCGTTTAAATACTCACTTTATTTACGAGAAAATTAATTTGTAATACGGGCTCAGTTCGCGGGACTTAATAAACAGTCAACGATCAATCTACAGGTCACAGAACTAGACTTCACTCGACACGTGACATCGCACCGAAGTTCACGAAGTTCACGTTCATACTAATCCTTCTCTATCCGCACTCCGTAATCCATGATCTCGATATGAACGTTCTCTGGAACATTCTTACAATCATACTGCATATTAATAATAAATTTACAGCACGTTTATAGCTATTAAAATCCTTATATTTTATTGATAAAGTACCATTTAAACCATGATCTCTACAAGGTGTTAAGTATTATAATATGGAGGATTAATTAGGGTGAATATAAGAACTAACCGCGATTATTCTTTTTTCCGGCAATTTTCTATAATTAGAAAATCTATGTTCAAAGAAAAAATTATAATTTGAATGATATTGATATTTTCTGTTCGCCGCCGTCATACTGAAACCTACGATGAACACTTGATTCGAGGACAAGGAAAAATAAACGGCGAGTGAACTTCTATATTTTAAGTTTTAATTTTTAATAAACTTGCACAGGCAAAAAAAGACTTGGAAAAAATACGACAACTAATGTGGCATACGAGAGTGGCTACCGTATGATCCATTTAGTTAAGAAGAATATAGGATTAGCGAAAGAAGAAAAAAGTAATGAAATATAAATAGCATGTAGTGTCTTTCGATCACTGCATAAACTAAAAAGGCTGGAATTGGTTTCGAAACGCAATAATAAAAAAAACGGATAAATGATGTGATTTAATTCAGATTAAGTTTTAATACAAAGTATATGATGAGTAGATACACAAGCCATTATACGAACAAAGTTTTCGTTATATTCTATGTGTCATTTACCCTAGCCATTGTAATACAACATAGCAGTAAAGGAGCAAACAATTGTCTAAAAGTTATGTGAAATTTAGGATATCAGATATAATCAAGCATTTACTATATATGTTGATAGTGAATCATCAGATGAAAATTCCTCTTTATATTTAAGTGTCATTAATAAACCGATGTAGTCGTAAATGAGGCAATAAATATTCTGATCTTTATTTCGTATATAACATACTTAATCGGAAATTGGCGACACTAATGCATCAACCATAGATTCGTTTAAGCAATAATGAAACTATTGACGCATTTCATCAATAGTTTAGTAATAATTCTGACAACCACCAGTGCAATTATTTTAAAAGAAGGCATTTTGCATAAGACGAGACGTGCTGATGTTGGTGCCACCTATGCCGTGGCATGGTGTTGGCTAGAAGGCAGGTGTCGCCAATGGCGCGGCAGTGGTGTTGGCTAGAGTGCAGGTGCCGCCAATGGCGCGGCAGCGGAGTTGGCTAGAGTGCAGGTGCCGCCAATGGCGCGGCAGTGGAGTTGGCTAGAGTGCAGATGCCGCCAATGGCGCAGCAGCGGAGTTGGCTAGAGTGCAGATGCCGCCAATGGCGCAGCAGTGGAGTTGGCTAGAGTGCAGGTGCCGCCAATGGCGCGGCAATGGAGTTGGCTAGAGTGCAGGTGCCATCAATGGCGCGGCAGTGGAGTTGGCTAGAGTGCAGGTGCCATCAATGGCGCGGCAGTGGTGTTGGCTAGAGTTGGTGCCGCCAGTGGCGCGGCAGTGGTATTGGCTAGGGCGCTCAGCCATAGGTCAGAGTAGTCGGAATTTTCGACGCGCAGGAACTCGAAATCCATTCCTTGGAACAGCTCCAGACGATGACTGGGGCAGGTAAAAATTATACTCATAAATGTATAAATTTTATAAAGTCTAGCGAATAATATTTATGCAGTCGAAGTGTCTTCGGTTCCATAGTTTTCCCGTATTACTTTCTAACAATTACAATATTAAAGAAAATTTTAGTATTTTTAAAATAAGTTATATTATGTGATCGAAAATTTTCCGAAACTATTTTTACTATTTTTGAAATGCTTCCTTGAGTTATTTTTAATAAAAAATACAATTAAGTAAAAGCGATTTCCGGCTACCAGGAACAATCACGAAAAGAAAGTGAGACGAAATCACGTCAAATAAAGGTACAGCTTTATTATACATGCTTAACAACGGGAGAGATAAAACCATTTTGTTGGCAGCGGCCTGAGTGTTCCGTCGTTTCACACATTCCACCCAAGCATCAATATTTATTCAGTACGTCACAATACATTGTTCATACTTCATTGAAATCCATGCAAAACCTGTTAATATTTATCGTGATGGATTAATAATTAAATATTATAGCCGACATCACTAAAAAATGCGATTTCTATCAAAGCATCAATACTTATTCAGTACGTCACAATACATTGTTCATACGTCATTGCAATACATGCAAAACCTGTTAATATTTATCGTGATGGATTACAAATTAAATATTATAGCCGACATCACTAAAAAGAGCAATCACTCACAAGTCAGGTTGCGGGTAGTTAGGATCGTCCATCGGTGCAGGATACAGCGCCTCGTAAGTCCTGCTCTCGTTCACCCCATGAATGGCGTAAGCGTTGATACGAGTCACGTTCACTGGGAAATATTCAGCTGGAATTACGGCTGATCCATGCCATATTCCCTGTGGAAGATATCGTTTCGTTTGTTGCTAATAATTGTTATACATATCACNTCGTAAGTCCTGCTCTCGTTCACTCCATGAATGGCGTAAGCGTTGATACGAGTCACGTTCACTGGGAAATATTCAGCTGGAATTACGGCTGATCCATGCCATATTCCCTGTGGAAGATATCGTTTCGTTTGTTGCTAATAATTGTTATACATATCACGCCAGACCACCAGATCTAAGACTGGGTCCAAAGTGAGCTAATAATTGTGTACATATCACGCCCTACCGCCAGATCAAAGACTGGGCCCAAGTGAATAACATCAGTTCAACAACACAAAGTCGTTGTTGTTGTATTGAAATACATTTCCGATGAAGTAATTGGGTTTGAAAAAGTCTACTACATCGATACGGCTGAAACTTGTAGAGAATCAATTCTATTGGGGTCTTGGGATAACAATATGAAATGTAATAATATAATTTGATATATTATTGATATATCAAATATGATATATATTTGATATATCAGTAATATGATGTATAATAAAATAATTTAATATAAGTTGCAGGAGAAAACGTGCAATACAAGTATAAATGAGTATAACCGCACTGCTCCCAAACTTAGATAACGATGTAAAAAGTTTATCTAAAGATCGAGTTTAATTGTCTGCTAATAATTAATTGTCTGCTCATTTCAGATTTTATAATGAAGACGCTTTGATAAAGAGTTTATCTAAAGATCGAGTTTAATTGTCTGCTAATAATTAATTGTCTGCTCATTTCAGATTTTATAATGAAGACGCTTTGATAAAGAGTTTATCTAAAGATCGAGTTTAATTGTCTGCTAATTATTAATTGTCTTCTCATTTCAGATTTTATAATGAAGACACTTTAACGAAGAGGCTCTTCTCACCGCTTCTCCATCACCTCCCTCTTGTAGCAGATCTACAGTGTAGTCGAGGCTGAGTTCACTGGCAATGATGTTGCGTTCTCCAGCTAGCAGCAGTAGCAAGTGTTCTCCATGGGGTGCCAACTCCACTTCAAGATATTCGTCAGCGGCGTTCAGGAAGAACATTTCTACAACTGCCGTACAGAATTAATAAGTATTTAAATTTTTATTTTTATTTTTGCAATATAAATTCTATTATTGCAATATATTCCAAAAAAAAAAAACATTTCTACAACTGCGGTACAGAATTAATAGGTATATAAATTTTGATTATTGTTATTATTGCAATTTTATTATTGCAATCTACATTTTATTATTGCAATATATTGCAAAAAACATTTCTACAACTGCCTTACAGAATTAATAAGTATATAAATTTTTATTACTATTATTATAATTAAATTATTGCAATATAAATTTAAAATCGGGTTAAAGTTTTAAAATCTCATAAATAAGGAAAAGTGTGATCACGCTTGACGCTTTAGAACAGACAGAATTATTACATTTATCAAATTGCAAGTAGTTGTTTATATAGGTAGCAACATGTGGATAAGGAACCACTAAACGCGTTTTCGTGATATTTGCTATAGAATGAATACTCATGAAATTGGTTCTTACGACTTGTAAGTTAACTTGGCACAATTTGTGGGAGTGGAAAGGACTAAATGCGGTTAAAGTTATTTGTTTAGAGTAAATACAGAAAAAAATAATTATTCTAGACCATTTTATGAACTAAGTATATCAGTTTGTTGGTAAGTAAAAAACTATAGGTTATCATATAAAATTCCTAAAATAAATGTCAGAGAAAATATTTTTTCTAGATCTGGCAAGGTTGCAGTTTGTTTTTCATCAGAGGTACAGAAAGAAGAATAATACAAATAATAATAAAATAAAATTGTGAAGAAAATAAGTTACGAATTACTAATTAAGGAAGAATGCTACAAATAATAGTAAAATAAAATAAAATTCTGAAGAAAATGAGCTACGAATTACAGAGCTCTGCATTATGAGTCTCGAATGATCAACATCGTATTTGAGGCATCGTAATACGTATCGTATAACGATCAACTTATTGCGAGCATAGTCTAAAAATTATTAAGCAATAATTTATAATAAACAAGAATTATATAAAGAATATTGCATAGTGAGTAACGTTTTAAGGGCATCATATAAAGAGTATCGAATAATGAGTGCCGTGTTACGAGCATCATGTATAGAGTACCGTATATCAAGCATATAAAAAGTATCGTATATAAATTATCATAAAATGAGCACTACGTATAGGTAACTCCTATACTTTCTTTTAGGTAACTCCTATACCTTCGTATAGGTAACGCCTATACCTTCGTATAGCTAACGCCTATACCTTCGTATAGGTAACGCCTACAACTTCGTATAGGTAACGCCTACACCTTCGTATAGGTAACGCCTACACCTTCGTATAGGTAACGCCTATACCTTCGTAGTCGTATAGGCCGGGGTATGGCTGGCCAGGCGTTCCGCCGGGTGGCGCTGGGTCGTTGAAGAACGCCGCGGTCACGTTCATGCGAACGCTGTCCTGCGTAACCATATTAATTATTAATATTTTCTAATGCCAGGTGCAATCGTGAACAAATTTAAAAAATCTCAACTCATAGAGTCTTTAAATAAATGTTCAGCTTATTCATTTCATGGCTTTTACCGTTGGTGTAAAGTATATTGATGATTCATATAGAACAATTCGCAATTTAAATTGAAAAAAATCCCTAGAGATTGCACAATGTCAACTAAGAAGTACAATTAATGCAGTCTTGCTATAAGAACCTTTAGCTTGATAATTCATTTTTAATTTCTATTTACATTTAATATCTAATCTACAACAACTTGATCTATAAATTGAATTGATAACGATCCACGTCGAGTTTAATACACTTTGTATTGAATTTGCTTATTAAAACGTCCTAGTGATTTTTCATATATACGCGAAAATTGCAATGTAATTCGATTTGGATATAATATTTTTTGCTAGACTTGATTGTTGATGGTTCACTGAAATTAATTACTTAATTACATAAATTGATTTAATTATTCACTTAATTGAACTGTATAATTGAGTAAAAAATATTATTTAATCTTCTGAAACCATTATTTGACCCAGAAATTTTTTAAATTTATGAATTGAAAAAAAAATTTTTAACCAGAATTTTACTAATTCTTATTGTTATCTTGATTTTACCAAAACCGTAGTTTATGTACCTAAAAAAATTGATGAATATTATAAAAAATCCTAATTAAATATTAATCATAGTTATCCTTGCTTTCAATAAAAGTATAAAAAATATAACTCAGTACTCACTGCAGTGAGTGACAGAGAGCGCATTTTCTCGTCGACGAAAACTTGAGGTCACGGACAGACGGACGGTCGGACAGACAGACAGACATACGGACATGGCAAGCACAATAGTGCACTTTTTTTCATAAATGAGAAAATGCGCTAAAAAGAACAACTTGAGTAATATAAACTAATCATTTTACATGAAGCGATATTTGATTAATGTTTATTAGCATACACCGTCATTATAGAGCAGGATTTCCGCAGGTTGGTGGGCCACGACAGGCGCGCTGTTCCATTCGTAGTCCACAAAGTAGCGGAACAAGATCGGTGTCCTGGAAATGCGGACATCGCAGCGAGGTTTAGCAGGAATTTAAAACCAATGGAAATACCAAGAAAATTTGCCATATATTCATTGGAGATATTTTGAATTTACTCTGCGTTTAAATTCATTGGCCTGGGACTGCTAAGTCCGAAACAAATACCAAGATACCAAGATTGGGAAATTTGCGATTTAAGTAGACTAGTGATTTTACTATTTACAGACATTGTTTACTGTAAAAAACGAAGATATTTTTAATGTAGATTGTGCAATTCACTTGTTAAAACAACAAGACAATACGGAAGAAACTTGCTGTTACTCAGTCATGTTCAGCTGAAGAATTCAANTGGATTTAAGCCTCGTGTCAAACACACGTCCGAGCCTGATCTCTGCGAAGGTATTATAAGAAGGGGCCTGCAACCTTGCGATTACCAGTCACAACTAAACAACTGGCAGCGTCATGGCAACTACTAGCAACGGATAACGTACTAGCAACGAGTATAATACCAGCAAATGTTAAATATGTTAACGCTTCAAAAACTATATCGACACGCAACTGACTCAGTACAAGCACAAGAAGTACATAGTGCACCTAACACTCTATAGCTCGCAGGAAACACTGTACAATATACAGCACGCAACATACAGTACACTGTACAGTATACACGTTTACACATGCAGCATACATTGCACAGCACGCAGCACAGCACGCAGCACAGCACACAGCACAGCACGCAGCACAGCACGCAGCACAGCACGCAGCACAGCACTCAGCACAGCACTCAGCACAGCACTCAGCACAGCACGCAGCAC